TTTTTTTTTCCTTCCTGCCCCCCCCCCCCCTCGGTTTCTCTTGGTTTCCAAGGCTTTTCTTTGTCTTCATCTCAATTTGTATCTCTCAGTATAGAATTGCTTAGCCTGTCCATTTCTAGCCACCTAGAAGTGTGGTCCTTTGTATTGAGGGCCAAATGATAACAGACACACTGGGCACATCTGCGAGACACTTACAGCACATTAGCCTAATAACACTGCAGTAACTTTGGTGATTAAACACTGTGCTAATAACCTTCTGCGCAGTGTTATTAGGCTAATATGCAATAAGCATCCCAAAATAACTGTGGGCTGATGCTACTGTGCAGTAAATGTACTTACTGGTCATTTAGTTAGTACTTCATTAAGCAAGTACTAAACTAAATGTGCAGTAACTAAGGCACGTTAATGAACGTGTAGACACGCCCACTCTGTCTGAAAGCCTTCAGAAATAGAGCTACCTAAGATTTCATGACTGTGGCTAACGTCAATCTGTAGCCAATACTATTGCTACAGTTGTTGGCTATGCGTAGCGGGCGCATGTGGACCCCCTGCAAGAAGTGCCACTGATGCTGCCGGTTGCACCTGTGGGCGGTTGGTGCTTGCATTCCCCTGCCGCTAACACCACTACGGCCGCCTGTGGGAGCTTGCTGCTGCTGCCACCGCCAGTGCTGCCTGTGGGCGGTCACTGTGCCCCCCAGTCTCCGGGGGCACACGTCGTTCATGGGTACAGTGTTTCTGTGTACTAACTACACTTTCATTTACTATTTTACTTGGTTTATTGTAATCTGCTGTATTCATAGATTTCATAGACATTTGGGCTGGAGGGGACCTCAGAAGGTCATCGAGTCCAGGCCCCTGCCCCAGGGGCAGGAAGTCAGCAGGGATCATAGGATCCCAGCAAGATAAACATCCAGATGTATTGTTTGCTTGAAATTACCAGGAGACTAATGGTTGTCCAAGAATGCATAGTCTTTTGTCCTGACTTCTTAAAATTGTATAGAAAGTTTGGTTCTTAATGAACAGGGTCAATAACTTTCTTTCTCAGTTTCTTTTGGTAGCGCTCACAAGATTAAGAAAGCAAAAACCCAGTTTTGTGCAAGTCATAACTCACTTTTTCTCAAGAGTGCACAAGAACAATAAGGTTTTAATCTACACTTCTTACATGGGGGTACTTAGCAAGAAATTTAATTTTGGTAGGTGCCGTTTCTCCGTTGTGTTGCAGTAAAGAGACTATCTGTGGTATGTATGTATGCATTTTCTTTCCTCTGCAGTAAATCTCTAACATCATGGGCACAAAAGCTGAAACAAAACCAATCAAAAAAACCAAATGTGGAAGAGGAAGGGCATGTGAACTCTATGCAACAAAATGAGCAAGGAAAGAAATTAACATTTGAGACTGTAAGTGATGCCCTGCTCCTGGCCAGGATGTTTCTATACAGATAAACCTATTATAGGCTTTTGATTATCATAGCGCGTGCGCTCACGATTAGCTTTAAGCACTTTATTAGCACATTATTTGTCCCATGACTGGTCACATGTTTAAGTTTTTAAGTATATGTCTAAGTGCCTGTTTTTCAGTGTTTACTTGTCAGATCCCTGTTAATAATCAGTGATATTTATCCTCAGTCGTATTTGTTTTTATTCACTGCTTGCTTGGTAGCTTTGGCCTGCACCACTGATTTTACTTATAAATGGGAAAATAATGGCCATCTCTGACAGTGTCCTAAAGAAGAAATGCTCAGTTAAAGCTAAATGTAAAGAGTTATTATTAAATTCCAATTTTTGTAAAGGGTTTTGAGCTTTTTAAACATTTGTCTGCTATAGGCTCTAGTAATATCAGGGTGTCTGCAACATACTGAAGTCCTTGGCAGTTGAAGCGCTTAGCACTTTTTAAGAAATAAACAGCATTTTACCATGTTGGACCCTTACGCAACATGACTTTCTTATTGACCTTTTATGATAAATCACATGCCATTTTACTATAAAAATGGTCTCATACAAGAACAAGATATGTTGTTAAGCCCTATATAGGCATAAATCAAAATAATCTACCGAGAGTCCAGTTCTAGCATGAGTTACTAAAGACAAACCACCATGCTTCCCGTGGTAGAGATTGGGGGCTCTGAATTGGATGTTCAAAACCGTATAGAGTAATGTATGTATCTGTGACCCTGATACTCATGCTTTTTGTTCAAAATTTAGACAGTTGCTCATTATGTTTTGATGTCTTCTGCTGTCTGCGCTGAATACATTTAGTTTGCTGTTCTCTTCTGTAAGTTCTTACATTTGAATGGATTTAAAAAAAAAAGTTTCAGCTGGCATGATATTTTTTACTCAAATGGACCAACATTCGCTATGACTATGTATGTGATAATCTCAAAACTATGAAGATTTAAATTGACTGTACCTATACAAGTTGTTATTCACCCTAACAAAATCTTTTCTGCACAGCTGTTAATAACTCTACTACCCGAAAGTAGGAGCTTTGTAAGACACTGTCTGCCCTCTTTCCTGCAGTCGCTTTGTTTTTTGGAAGCATTCACTTGAGACCTCTTCACTTGGTTTCCTGGCTTTGAAGATCGGGAGACATAAATAAATAAATAAAAGGTTAAGAAAGGAGTAAAATACTTCTAGGAGATGTTATAGCTTTTTGCTTTCATTTTGGTTTTGGATCCCCTTTTTCACTTGGGTCTTCTGTACTTTCCTCTGAGTTTGGTTCTGCCAAGCTGCGGCATCTTTCGGTAAGACTTGCTGCCTGTGTTTGGGACTGAGCATCAGCAGGATAGCAAAAGGGACAGGGGCTCTGCTCTTTCACTGGACTATCTGGAGGGGTAGTCCTGTATATACTGCAGGCTGGTATTTGTCTTGGGTAGGCGTACGCAAGCCTTTATTGAGGATCACGTTGTTTTGTGGTTTGAGGCTTTTTCTTGGAGAAAGCCAGACAAATAGACCTCTGTAACTGTCTATATACCGATACCCACATTTTGTATAAAATACCTTGATGATGACATTTTCTTTGACGGGTACCAGAGGCCTCTGTCCAATGTGGAATCACTTTAAATCCCTTGCAACTAATTAGAATGCAGGGAAAAAACCCAACACTTCTGATCCAATGTGTTCAGGTCACTTTGGAAAATAATATACAGCACATGGTTGGCCTGTGTTTTTCAAATAACCAGACGTCTTAGAACTGTAGAAAGGTTGCATTTTTCATTCAAGATTGCACAAAACTAGCTTTGATTTTAAAAGAGTGTCTGTGAGTTATTAAAATGATTGCAAAGCCTTTTTTGAAAGAACATCCCTGACAATTCTTACCTAGCCTATGATCCACTCTCTGGCAGAGGCCAGTACCATGTACTTTAGCTGAAGGTTCAGAAAACCTTGTTGGCTGTAAAAGGTCTACAATTAACTTTGAAACCAGCTGGGAGACATGACCAAGGCACAGAAGAACCATTTTCCTAGCATTCTGGAAATTCATGAGTTGAGACGATGGAAACTTCAATAGAATGCATTTGAATAGAACCATTTGTATTCATTTGCTCTGTTCATTCTTGCCCTGTATCTTATTGAAAAGATAGTACACCTTTCCTCTGTGGATGCCTCCTTTTTCAAATTAGGATTTCAGAAAACCGTATTAAGATGAACCTGACACCTAGTTTACTGTCCTTGTACATTAGTGAGTGGCATTTCTTCCTTTTGGCAGGGAAGAGGAGAGAATTATGACAAATTTGATAGGTTAAATGATTTGTTGTAGTCTTCTTTGAACTATTTCTCATTCCTTTTGGGAGTGCCTGTCTATTTGTGTTTGGATGGGATGGTTGCAAGGAAGTCTCAAGTGATGACAGAGGGTGGACATAATAGGCTAGATATCAGGCAAAACTTCTTCACGGTAAGGGTGGCCAAAATTTGGAATGGGCTTCCAAGGGAGGTGGCACTCTCCCCTACCCTGGGGGTCTTTGAGAAGGCTGGATAGGTATCTGGTGGGGTCATCTGACCCCAGCACTCTTTCCTGCCTAGGCAGGGGGTCAGACTCGATGATCTGTTTATGTCCCTTCGACCCTAACATCTATGAATCTATATCCGATAAAGATAAAATGATAGACATTATTTACCTCCCGATTCCTGGTAGGTGGAGTTGTAACAACAGAATATAAGACATTCCAGTCTTAGAATGGGGAGAAAACTTACCAATAAATACGCTATCCTATCTCAGTCTGTAATTGCACCTCTTCTGGAGCAGCAAAAGTGTGGATGACTGCCAAGCTGAACAAAAGAAGATATCACAAAAACACTTGCCTAATTTAATTGACACTTGACATCCTTCCAAATGAACCTTTGTGTGCATGTGCGCACTTGAGCTTGTGTGTTTGTTTGTTGTCTGGACATAACTTTTATTGTCCCCAGTTCTGATTTGATTGAGGAGACATAAACTGTGCTATGAGATTAAACTTGTAACTAGAGGTGTGTTTAAAAATACGTGTTTAAATGCAAATTTTGGAACTGTTGTACCCTGATTTGTTTTTTTTCTGTATTTCTTTGCCCTG